CCGCGCCGCGCACCTGGCGCTGCGCTCGCACGCGCGCCGCGGCCGCCTGCCCGCCGCCGACCTGCTGCTGTCCGCCGGCGCCGCGCTGCTGCTGGCCGACCCGCTGCTCTTCCTGGGTGGGTGTCGCGAGACGCGCTCCTCCGGGCGTCGGCGCGGTTATGCGCCTCCGTAAATCCGCGTCTCCGCTCTTTCCCCTAGTCGTTTCGAAATATAACTTTGAGTATATTGTGCCTTCCCGCGCCTGATGCGAACGATGTATAAATACGCCGTGACGCGACGCGTCGCGTGACGCGCTAGTGCATAGATATCCTGAAACGTAGCAGATTTCCAGGAAAATGGAAATTATGATACCTGTAATCCTTTAAGATTTGAAATAAAAAAAATCACCACAATGCGATGAACAACCGGCATAAAATTAGTCAATTTGAAGGTAACACTTACAAAAAACCAAGTAGAGTAACAGATGTCAAGATTTTCTGTTTTAACTGCAACAAGATTATAAAGTTACTGTAACTTTTCCCGAAAAGCAATTTTATAACGAAAAACGCTACATATTTACTACATTTTTCTGCCATAGATATTCTTCCCAATAAAAGTAAAGAAAACTCCTTTTTGAGTATAACGGAACTTAGTGAGCTTTAACCTTTTAACCAACGATATGTAAATTTACCGAAAACATAATTTGTTCATAATTTTGTGCCGTAAGTTATGTGCAATGGCCTTGCAGCCAAAAAATATTGTTTTGTTTCAGGCAAATACTGTGATTTCCACAGACTGTATAAGAACAGGGAGTTCAAGAAAGCTGCAAAACTCTTAGTGTCTCTGATTACATCAAAAATCGCACCAGACTAGTGAGTATTTTTTCGCCAGTCAATAATTACTACAAGAATTAACACTAATAAATTTTGAATTAGGTATCTAAAATAATAAAATCGAGCCATTACCGCCGACTTAGTGTAAGCGACAAAAAACAAATTTTACAGGAGATTTCGTATAAATATTTTTCTACATAGTTTAAAATTAATATAATGAATTTGTAGATTCTAAATATTCTATATTACTATAGAAGCAATGTGTCTAAACTATTTTGTCAATTGTAATTTAAAAGTATGTCCTTGTAACAGTGCAATTTCGTTTGGTAACTTATTGTAAATAATTATACACATGTTGAAGCAGTTAGTTATTCTTATAAATTACTTTATGGCAAGAGGTTAGTATAAAATATTCATAATTCTTGTTCTAGTTTGCCTTTGAATGATTTCACCGCGTGTGTTAAAATATTCAGGATGAGAGTTGATAAATACGCAGATATCCCTCGTGTATGTCCTTCATTCCTTACACAAAAATTCATCTATTTGATACAATTTTGGCAGGAAATATCGGCGAGTCCTTTTATCCACAGTTTAAAATATCACTTGTAGCAAAAAAACACCGTTTAGGTAAAAATGTCGCTTACGGATAAGTCGGCGGTCATGGCTTGAAAGGTACGTCTTGATTATGACGAATACCTGTAACTTTAAACCGCTCAAGGATTTCAGTGCCTTTCTTTGTCTATCCCTTTTTGTTATTGTGTATAATATGACATAAATAAATAAAACTCATATACGTATGTTTCACTTCTTTGCACGGGTTTCATCCAGGGAGAGATTGTAAGATGGTGATTTGTTAATTTATTTAGGTAATATAATAATTTTCTTTGCTCTCAGTTTTTGGGAAACCCTTCTCCTGGACACTTTGCCCCTTTTGGAGTCGGACGAGCCCGTATTCTCATCATCGGACACGTTCGAGATTATGCTCTGCCTTGAACTTCGCTCCGGTGTCTTGAATGGTGAGAAGGCTGACCTGCTGCGATTGGCATTGGCCAGGAACCTCGCGAGGACCTCTTTATGCGACGTAGAAGAGGGGGAATGATCCAAGTTGTCAATTTAGTTATAAGCTAGTTAATTTTGCTTACGACTTGACTTATGATCGAAACCGACGCATTAAACCGACAATTTTATATACAATTGTGTCCGAAATGTGTTCGCTTTCTATCACATTTTGATTTGTCTGACTCAACCCAAGCACAGCTTTTACGCAAAAATGGAAGTGGCGAGAAAAGTTTCGCCGCTTCAGTAACGAGGCTTAGTGTATTTAGGCGAACCAGAAACATTGAGAATTTTTCATAAGGAACATTTTTTCCAATAATGCGCCTGTAAATTTTTGTGTAAGGGATGACTAATACGAATTTTTATGGAATGACTGCCTTCTGGTGTATGCCAAAAACAGTCTGCAGAAGAATGGTTTAATGTCAAGTTTGTTAGTAATAAGTGTATCGTAATTATATTAAGATTGGCTGGTCCAGTTGGTTTTGGAATCTATCACAACAGAAGGTCGAGATGTAAATTTTTTATAATTAATGGATAAGTAAACAAAGACTGCAATAATTGTTATGTACTAAGTTGTGATAGGTAGCCAAATGTTAAGTAAGAAAGAACTAGATACCTATTCATTTCTACGTGTTCCATACACGTGTCAAATGGAGCTTGCATGGCGAGATCAGCTTACATACTTCCGTTCTTTTCAAAATAATCCTACCATGCTGCCATGATATTCTTTAAGACGCCGCGCAAACGCGTGTCTTGTGTTGGTTACAAGCAACTGGCGACTAGAAACAAACATTTTATTATTCAATTTGTATGAAAATAGAATATTCGCTTCTAGTTGCCGGTTGCTTGTATCAAACACAAGATATATAGCTTGCGCGGCGCCTAACTTAACGTGTTGTAATTTGGGGTTGTACCGTTTTTATTATGGAGTATCAGTCAACAAGTTTCAGTATCCGCAGTGGCCGCACAGCTCAGCACCACATGATCGCCTGATCTGATGCATGTATATGTACGTATGTAACAGCATTACAAAGCACAGTCAGGATAGTAGTAAAAATATGATCATTATTGTACAACCAATCAATTACAGACGCCATCTTCACTGTGCTATATATAATATGTACTACGGTATGACTTCACAGATTGGTTTATTAAAGAATATTAAGTTTTGTTATTGTTGTAAATAAAAGAAATATCCTTCTTATGATTTTTCGCCTATGTAAGTATCCAATAATCCACACAATTTTTGATGTAATAACTGTATGTAAGTTTTAGTACATACGTAAGTATTATAAGATTTTGATAACCGCTTTTGTTATTATTACGTAGTGTGAGATTTAAAAATATAGAATCTTTCTTTAATGTAACACTATCCCTAGTTTGCTAATTTTATACCTAAGCTGTATTGAGCAACGTATGCTAAGTTTCATGACATCATTAACTCCCGTGTTATTTGGGTGTCACATTTTGTTAAATGATGGTAGCCACTTGTGTACATGGTAGTCAACATTATTTCAAATGGATACCTACTATTATCACTGGAATCATTTCATTAAAGGTGTTTCCAAAATTTGTTCAGCCCTGTGTGTAATTCTGGATCTTAAGTGATTTCTCAGATTACACACTGAGCTACCTAGGTCATCAAGAAATAGAAAGAGTACATAGAATTGATTTTGTCATGCGCCCATACAGAAATTCATCCAATACATGATTATAAATATCTGCCCAAATATCACAAATTTTTGTAAATTGTTATGAAACCTATGATACAATGTACACACACATAATAAACTGAAAGTGGGATGATGTTGATAGAATGTGTGTTGCTGCATTTTGTAATAAACAATATTTTCATAGAAAACTTGTTTCTTTGCACTGCTTTACATAATCAATGGTTTATGTATACACTCCTTTCCTCTAACCGTAAACTATAGCTGTTCAGTGTAGTAAGTGTTGTGTAAGATGACCTGTGGAATCCAGAATTTGTCCTATTATGAACAAGGGGTATAGAAAAGGGAATGCTTCAGTAGTTGGCAGATAGTAGTAGATTGACAGCAAATATTTACACATAGAAACCTGGAGTTGACTTTATCTTGAGCAAAAAAAGGTCAAATATACCAAGAATCATGAATCACCATGAGGGTGAAGAATTGTTGAACTTAGTGAATTCAGTCTCTGCCATGCAGTGATGATATTATGAGGGGACTTAACGAAATAAATCTGTAAGAAGTACATATTGTTAGTATTTATATTAAAATCGTAACAATCATCACAGACAAATCCAAACTTAAATAATTACGAAAACTTATAGCTACTTATTATTATCGTCAATGACTGTAGCATAATGTTTCTCCATAGAGTCTATTTCGTAAATCTTCGACTTCAGGATGGTGTCGTGTCCCTGGTAGTGAAAGACGGCATAAAATGGTCGGTTCTGCAGCATGTATGGGAACCAAAACCGGTCGTCAGGCCACATTTCTCCGAAAGGCAAGCAGTCGTTATCAAACCATTTTGGACTCATTTCCTCAGTCTCTTGCGGTACCCCCTGCCAGATAGTAGCGCTGAATACTCTTACGTCCATCAACGTAGGTTCACCTTCGAATGTGAATTCCAAGTGTCCCACATTCTTCAGGTCACTAGCCGTCACGGTCACAGCACATTCTTCTTTTAATTCCCTCACAGCTCCGTCTACAATATTTTCATTTGGCTCTACTTTGCCGCCAAAACCATTCCATTTGTTAATTCCAAAACCTCTCTTTTTAAAGCCCAAAAGTACCTGATTTCGAGTTCGCAAGAAAACTAAAGTGTATATTTTCTTTACCCACATATTTTGAGTATTGGATAGCAATGCCACGTGTAGCAATTTATTAATTACTTTCTAATTTTTCGTGCCGTCTCAATAAATTAATATTTACCGGCAGCGTGTTAACGAGTGTTTTGTTTGTTTTGACAACACAGTTTGGCGTTTTGGCGGTCAAGTTAATTTTTTTTTCTTCGTTCCGTTTGGAACAGGCGAAGATCAGAAATCATACTGCAAGGAATGTAATGTCAATATACTTTTTTTAATGGCACTAGACTATTAAAATTAATTTCAAAATAAATGGAAACGGATCGGATACAACCCAAAAAGGACGGGGAAAATGCTCATTAAAAGAATATAAAAATTTAATTATGTTAGAGATGTATAAAACAAGGATAAGTAGACCATGTTGTTTGATGGAGGAAGGAACGATAAAATCGGGCACAATAGAAAAACCCTAACATGCGCTTGTGTTGGATGCATCCAACTAAGGGTCGTATTCTAGAACTCTACTCGATGCTCAAGTCAGGATTTGAGTATGTATAAAGCACTCGAAATCATACTCAAGTCCCTGCCATTAGGGTCGTAATCCCAGTGCTTGTGTTTCCAGTGCAATCCTGACTTGTAGAGTAGAGTTCTAGAATACGACTCTCAGAGTCGTATTCCAGTCAAGTCAGGATTTGAACAGACTTGAGTATGACTTCAAGCACTGGAAATACGACGCTAATGGCTTGCCATTAGCGTCGTATTTCCAGTGCTTGAAGTATTTCCTTGGACTTGAGTATGATTTCGATTGCCTTAAACCATACTCAAATTCTGACTTGAGCATTGAGTAGAGTTCAAGAATACGACACTGAGACACATGTTTGCGCGCAATGTCTGCGAAAACCTTGAACGCTCCGCTGTACGCGACCCGCCGCCGCCACCATTCTGAATTTGTGGCCAAGAAAAATAATGAGATCGAAATCTCGCACACCTCTACATACGCGCTACATAAGATAAGAAGTGTAATTAGGTGGAGGTTATAACTATTATTATAGTTGTAAAATATTAACAGCGATTGAGATGTCTTAAAAAAATCCTACAGACATTTCTTGCATGAGAAGGTTGTAGAACTGCCAGACAAATGAGGTGACAACAGAAAGGAAGGACGAACCTTTATACAACGTGTAACTGAGGTGAGAGATCTCGGAGTTCGTTTCGCTTCTGATCTCAATTTCCGTGACCATATAATTAAAGTCTGCAGAAAAGCTTATAGGAACCTGGGTTTTTTATTACGCCAGTCTCATTCATGGTTTCACAAATTTAGGTGCAGTGAGAGCTTTGTATGAGGCACTGTAAAAAAAGTAAAAAGTCCCTTGGAATGCAATGCATTTATAAGGAGTCCACACAAAAAAAGTATAATTGATGTTGGAGCGAATACAGAACACGTTTACACGTTTTCTGTATCTTAAACTATAATATGGTGTGTACCCGTTCTACCCATAAATGTATTCTACTTTGTTTGTGCTCGGTATGGTGGGTTCCATACAACAAATTGGAAGTCAGAGGGGACTTTAAGTTTGGTTAAGTATGTATCTATGCTATTGCGTGACTGGGTATCCAACCTACCAGTGTTGCAGTTAGTGGAGCTGTGTGCACCGGACCAATACGTGTGGCGGCGGCGACAGCCTCCTCTGTTCGCGTTACCGCGAGCGTGCACGAACTTGTTAAAAGAAGCACCCTTTACCCGAACGTTGCGTAACCTTTAGGTTATCACTAATTTCGTGGATAAATTCTGTTGTTCATAGAACGAATTCGTAAAAGCGGCTTTGTGGGTTTTGTGTTACCATAATAATAATAATAATTTTTTAAGTAGTTATTAAGTTTGCTACTATCCAAATTAAAGGTAAGTAAGACTTGTCGTCGACACTATCGTATTAGTATAACCTGTAATGATAGCTGTTAGTTGGAAATAAATAAATTATTAAGGTACAAATTTGTGTTATGCAAATATGGAAACGGGCGAGGACGCCGGACGCCGGACGTCAGACTAGACATGGGGAATAGCGTTACATTTCTATCGCCGTGACTGTCGTTCGGGTTCCAAAAACATCACCGTGATTTTGTCACGACTGTTACTTCCGTGGCCTTGTCACGCATATAACTTACATAACGATATACGGTTTTAGCCAGCGGCTTCTTTCTAATACTTATAGCCGTTTTTTATAGAATGATTTAAGTTTTTACTCCCTTTGTAATAAGTTTCAATTCCATTCAAAAAGTTGATTTTGTATTTAATGTAATTTTGTTTGTTACTTATTTAATGCGAATCTTTGGTTTGTTAAAAATAGCAATAAAGTGTAATGTAATTATATTTCTAGTAGAGTACACAAAGTAGATTATACATAAATATAAAATACCAACTCTTCCTATAATAAAACAAATATACAAAAATATGTTACTTTGTTAATAAATAGGTTTATAGTAATTGCTGTAGATTTTTTTCATCCGCCCTTTCTAGTTATAATAAGCACCTACGACTCTTGTGAGTGAGCAAAGAAAGTCATCCTATCTCACACATTCCCATTGGCGAAATGGCCCGATTTGAAGAGAACTACAACGAGTGGCGCGCTCAGTCACCACGGAACGAAGATTGCGCATTGTATCAAATACGTATGTCGTGATGTGAGTGACGGGGATAGCTATTGGAACGGAGGAACACCGATGTGACTTCGGAACGAGACACACGGTGATACTGTTTGACGGCGGATCATCGTGATTTTTTCACCGTGACGTTATTTATTACCCGCCTCTACGTCAGACGCCGACCACACTGATCCGGGCGCATTAATGCGAGCGTCGTCGCGCGACGACGCGCGTCGCCATGCGTTGTTGTTGAAAAACAGGACGCGATGCGACGCTTCGACTCTGCGCCAATGTGAGTTGAGCCTTAATCTCGCATTGTTTCCACGTCACAATTCGTAAATGATGGTAGTCACTCGTGTACGTGGTAGTGAACATTATTTCAAATGGCGACAATCCTGACTGTAATTATTTCACTAACGGTGGAAAAAATTTAGTTCTTAACCTCCTATTTATGTAAATAATTATTTAATTTGAATTTGTTCTAAGTTTTAAGCTTTTGTTTTGTATTTATTAGTGTTAAAATGTTTTCGCCTGAAGGACTTTGCAATAAATAAATAAAAAAAATCATTTCACTAGAAGTGTTTCCAAAATTGGTTCAGCCCTAAATGGAATTCTGGATCTTATGTTATTTCTAGGATTACGTAAATGTTGAAATACCTAGGTTTTCAAGAAATAATAAAGTGTTACACAATATATTCTAAAAATAAAAAAAAAACCCATACATATAATGCATGCAAACATTTTACGCCGACGAAGTCGCGGGCAGCAACTGGTTATTACAATCTATAGCAAACATAATTTTTCAATTACTTGTATTGTTTGTTGGTAGGTCAATGGTTATGTAAAATAAAAAAAAAAACAATAAAAATTAAAATGATAACAAAATGTCGTTAATGTGTTGATGGGTTGAGGGTTTCCAGTGAATGTATGTTTTTAACCGACTTCAAAAAAAGGTTTTTATGTATGTTACGCGATAACTCTGGTATTTGTGAACCGATTTTGATGATTCTTTTTTTGTTGTAAAGATAGGAATCAATGGAACCTCCACTTAACAAACTAAGAGACGAATGACGTTTGGGATCGTTTTTTATGTTAATTGATTTTGCGATTAGCACTTCAGGTAAATAATGTAACCACTATATTCAATTGCAAGCTCAGCTAGCCACCCACGATCGGCCAAGTTAATGAAAAATATGAACAGAAACCGTCTTTTTATTGTTAACAGACAAAAATACATTGTTTCTTTAGGGCTTTACACATCTTCCTTGTCAAGAAAAGGTCTACTTTACTGTTCCATACCGTCGTCCTTGTTTACAAAGTTAATTACACTTTCCTCTTGGAGGAATTGCCAATCAATTTTGTTGAGATCGTTAGTAAACTCACTAGTAGGGTCAGAAAACTTGTAACAAGGTTTTTGTACGACTGTTGTAAATATAACACTAGGTACTTACTACTGTTATAAGACCTACGACTTTATTGTATAAACGTGGAATTGACAATAATTTAACCATTTTTCATTAATTAAGTGTAACGTGTTGCCAAAGTCAAAGTATCATTTATTCCATACCTAGGTAAATTTGTTGCACTCGAAAACTTTATTTTTTAATATTAATTAATACTACTGCTCGTTCACTGCGCTGATCTCCCTGATAAGAACGAGCAAGAATCTCTAGGGGTTGCTCTTTTCAAATAAACTTAAATGCAACGGAATACACTTTGAATCATAATTGTGTGGAATCAAGACTCATGTTGTCCTTCCATACATCTTTATCTAACACACACTCTTCAATTTTGTAATATGACTTTTCAATTAAAATATTTTTAATGTAAGTCCTGCTCTTCTACTAAAATCTGAATGCTTGGATTTTACAAAGGCTGGCGACAGTCACGTAATTTTATCAAAAAAATATTGTGACAGATATAACAATAACACGAGCAACAAAAATAAAGTAGCTATTCTAGACAGTCCACTTCACAAAGTTACAAATTCATTCAATGTATACGCTTCTATAATAAGATTCCGGTTGATGACAAAAATCTGTGTAGTGACCCGTTCAGCTCCTGCGGGTATTCTCGATATACCACAATTTTTTGAATAATATTGTGAGTAGCAATATATAGAATCTGCCTTACATTTAATGAGCAGTAGAGTATAATCAATATGACGATTTCAAATAAATTTCCTAACCGATGAAGTAAAGATTATTTAACTTTGACTTTGAAAAGTTGACAAGTTGTCAGGGCGCAACATGGAACGGTCAATTTCTTCCCACTCATTGCTGGTGAAGTAGTTCGCTAAAACAACACTTAAACTAATTGTTAACCGAACTAAAAGTGAAATAATCACGATATTTTTGGGTCCGATGTCGATAGCCCCCTACAAAACAAACGTTAGCATTTCGTTAATCTCCTTACAACTTTGTTGGGTTGTAAGTGCGTTTTATTGTTCCCAAACGAGTGGAAAAAAGTTTAGTTTTGGGTTTTTTTTGT